TTAGATATTTTTTGAGCAATCAAGGGGGTCTACAAATTTTTTTTTTTCAGGATAAGGAGGGCCTTTAAAAAGATCGCTGTCTTTGTTGGGGACCCCAAAAAATGGGTGCGTTTTCAAATTTATCACCCACCCCCTCCCCCGATAAATAATAATATAATAATAAAAGCTTTATTTAACGAAGGTTTAAACTTTCAGTCATAGACTGGTTTACAAAGTGCCTTCCTAAAAATAATGAAAATAAAGAAAAAATGGTCCCTTAGACTGCTGTCATTATTCATTCACCAAGTCCTTTCCCTGCTAAAGGGTTCAAGCCCTCCCAGATCTTTTAGTTTGTGGAGGGATATATAGCTTGGGTGGTCATATAACCAAAATAGCAAGTTCCGATTGGACAGAAACCTTATGAATTATTAATAAATATCATAACTTGATAAAAAGATGTGTGTCTATATCGGTACTAATGAGAGTGCTCTATGCAGCATAAAACGTCATGCATGTGACCAAAATAGGATAACCGATTGGAATAAATGCTCATTAGCCATTACCATACCGGGAAGTCTGGGTTCTAGAGTTTCCTCTCGTAGGGACAAATGTTTCGCGGGGAAAAAACAAGGCGACTTGTTTACACTGGGGATGCCGAGTTACGCAATAAAATTAGCCGAAATTTCTTCCAACAGATATTTTAAATCAAGCTTTTAGACCCCTCTAATTGACTCTACTCTATGACAAGTGATTGCTGATGGTATTGGCCTCTAAAAGCGAATGCAGTCATGATAGCAAGGAAAAAATCGACCTAGATACGAAGGAAAACCAAGTGAGTTGGCCAGCTAATATCGGTGCATCGACCACTGGTACAAAACAAGAACTAGAAATAAGAATTAAGCGGTTATCAAGGTTTCCAAAACTCATAGAAAAGCTAAAAGCAAAGTCCAAAAAAACATTCACGTTCGATTGCAGTCTTAATGGCAATGACATTCCACCTGCCACAGCTAAGTGGAGAACAACTACTGACAATCTTCCATCTGTAACGTCTAATCGGTTTAATCAGTATGCTTCGAAAAAGCGAGAGGGCAGTATGGGTCAACAAAAGAAGGCTTTGCAGATGCTAACCAGCCGAAAGATCGTCAATGTAAAAACTCTCGTCGATGGAAACTTGACTTTTGTGAAAGCAATGATAAAGAAATCCTACGGTACTTTACAGCTTCCAGCTGTTTTGATGTTTAATGAAGGAACCCCAGTTAAAGCTTATTGTTGTTGTCCAGTTGGACGCATTACTTCTATTCTTGAAACACTACCATCAAACAGAAGAGACAATTCTTGCATTAACATGTACAGAGCAGCTGCAAAAATGGCACCACCGCTCACAGAACAGCTCTATTCCCATGATGCTATTGAGGATTTTGAAAGCTAAATCAGCTGTTAAGAAAAGGGGGGAGAATTTTGAAGCAGCTGATCCTCAAAATAGTAGGTCAAAAAGAAATGTTGATGGAATGATAAAGGAGGTAAAAGGAAATATTAGGAAATTTGAGTCAAGCTTCAAGCCGTTTGAACATCATGTATACTCTGTTCTTTTAAATTCAACAATTGGTCCTACGTCACTGTCCCAGCACTTGGAATACAGGTATTCATTAAGAACTAGCCAAACTTTAGTTGACCATGATTACTGCAAGTATTCAGTTCCTATGACAACAGATGATTGTTTAAAAGCCAAAAGGGATGAAATAACCAACAACATTCACAGGCAGGGAGTTCTAAATGTGTTACTAATGAGGACACTATGAAAAATTCATGTAAAAACGCTCCAAAAGTTTATTCAGCAACTTCTGGTAGGAAAGAAGCAGCAATGTATTCAAATACTTCTCAAGTTTCTGAACAGATCATTAGTAATATTGAGACCCAGCTCCAGCAACAGGTGCCTTTTATAACTGTTGATATTAGTAATCAGGAAGCACCACTTCCCAGTGGAAAAAACTATCATGAAGTTAATCAAAACACTGTCGAGTGTATGGCTATTCGCAAACACCGAATAACAGGAAGTAGATTGCCTGCTTTACTTGGACTATATGGTGAAGATAAGTTCACAAAATATTGGAAAGTGGTAAAAGAGGGATTAAATGAAAGTGATGTCATGAATACAAACCTAACAAATTTCAAGCGAAGACATAAATATGAGAAAGAAGCCATATCTCTATTTTGCCAAATATCTAACAGGTCAAGCAGAAACTTGTGGTTTCTTTGAAGATCCAAATGATCCGCCCAATAACCCTTTCAACATGAATTCTTGTTGAGGCAATATCAAAGTTTGAGGCAACCTCTGCCTGGGTAAATTGATCTCCCATTTTGTGTGCAGGGCGGTTGAAGTATATGCCTTTGACTGCACAAAGATCTTGTAGAGCAAACCCTTTATCAGCCATGAGCTCATGCTCAGATTCCACCCAATTAATAACACCTGTTTTTTCTGTTATGCTGCTATCAGAAATAGAACCTGCATTCATTGACAATAACTTTTCTTTGTCTTTCTGGGCATTATCCAATGACATTTGTAAAGTCGAGTTTTCATTTTGTAGTCTGTCTAACTTGGTTTGGGTTTCTATCATCAACTGCTCTAATTTTTTGTTCTCTTTTTGTAGATTTTCTTGCTCCTTTGTTGAAAGCTTCTTTCTTTTCTTTGTTCTCGGTTGAGAAGCGGCCCTTTCTGTTGGTTCTTTACGTTTCCTACCAGCAGCAGAATTAATTGTAACAAACTTTTTGTCCAAAAGTAGTTTTCGCTCTAACTGTGCTATTTTAGCTTTGCCGCATTTCTTCGGTTTGACCTTTTTCTGCATGCGAGATTTTGCTTTATGTTGCTTATTTTCCAACATCTTTCCTTGAGAGGCAGGTACTGTAACATCAGGAAAATCATTTTTTTTGCATCTTTAAGGAAGCCATTGCTCCAGTGTTCGGCACAAATGTGCCCAGTTGCCCAGTTAATTCCCGATGTTTTCAGAACTTTTGTGTACTCACGTTGAATATCAGGATCTCTAGGTTAACGGTAGAACTTTAGAAGCTCTCCTTTTGAATCTTTTGTTCGGAAGTTATTGAAACAAAAAGCAGAACTACAAAACCACAAATCTGAACTGATTGCAATTCTATTGAAAGTGATAAGGTTAATAGAAATCCATGTCTACTGATACATATCTACTCGAAATTTCAAATGAACCATTAATTAAAGTTATTAAAGAAAGTGGGTTCTTTATCCATGTGAAAAGGTTTATCAAAAGTCTCGTTGCAGTCGATGAAGCACATGTAACCAAGCAATGGTAGGTAGACTTTCGAATGACTGACTTTATATTTTTACGAGAATTTCAAATACTCCAAAAATCCAGTATCAAGTCGTTAAATTTCTATCATGTACATGTAACTCATAGGTATTAAATAGTAAAGTACATGCATCTAATGGTAGTATTATGTTCCTGTGTAGAATTTTATAGACAAAAAACAGTCTGGCACTATTCAAAGAATGTTACTCCCGACTTCACGAGTTCAGGACTCTCACACCTTCATGTAGGATTGTAGCTGTAACTGCTACTCCCACCAAAGAAACTTTGATGATGAAAAGTGTCAAGGAAATTTTTGAAAGTCCCAACAAGAAGAATGTAGCTTACTCGATTGAGTACATAGCAAAGAATAGAGACCTGAGAATCTTTTTGGATTGGTTAGTGGAGGATATGAAAGTAGTATTAGGGATGGGGGTATCAGCGCAATCTCATCACAGGGTTTACCTGTGTCGAATATTTCACCATGGAAACAACCCATCCTAAGTGTGGTTGGGGGCAACAGCGCAACCACTTAAATATGTTAGTCTATATATGGAGTGTGAAGAATGTAAAGAGTTTGTTTATGACTTCTGTGTAAAGTGCTTGAAACCCAAGTTTAAACCCACTAAGCCAAATAAGTATATTTGTTGTGGTAAGAAAATGCAAATAGAAGATGACGCGTCAGCACAGTGTTACGAGTGTGGTAAGAACATTCGCAATGCCGTACCAAATGCTACCAGAGAGCAATATTACGCTAATGGAGGCAGTAAGAAAACACCTTATAAGAGAATAAAATACTTTAGGGACTGGATGAGTCATATCCAAGGTTATCGACCGGTATATTTAGACAACGAAGTAAAGAAGAAAATCATAGACCACTTAGAAGAGCCAACCCCGCAAAGCTTAAGGAAGACATTGAAAAAATTAAAGCTAGGAAAATATTACAAGGCTATTCCCTATCTTTTGTCTGAAATTACCGGTGACCCTATTCCCGAGGTTTCTGATATGACAAAAGCCGAGTGGATGTTTTGTCAGTTGGATAAGGATATTCCNAAAGTGTTTAGCGACCAAAAAAAGATTTTCAAAACTATGACAACACACCTAGATATTAATAAATGGTAAATTTTCAATTTCATGTGACTGTATTTCTTGTTTGTTTTTATTCAAGTTTTATAAGATGAAATCTAAAGAAACGGCAAAAAGCTTTATTATTGAAAGGATTTGGTTTTTTAGTCTGCCATTTTTTCAAAACTTGCCCAACAAAAATTATGATTCTTTGTCAATAATACTTAAACCTTAGCAAATTATCTCTTTAACAAGCCTGGGTTACTTAAGATCGTTTTTTCTGCTTTAACTTTTATTGAAAATAAACGTTTTGTTTCGTGCAATCCGAGTAATAAATTTTGAAATTCCTCGAATGTAGATGCGCAGTACGTGTGCGCGTGGACAATAGTAGGCACCGTCCTTAACTTGTTTCAAAAGTGGGCAATTGAAACCTCTAGCTTGAAATCATTTTCTGTTTCACTTTGCTTTTCATAGTTTATTTTTAAGTATGGCTGAGTGTAGGATGTTGAGTTTTTGCTATTACAGTAACTGAATTGTTAATTTATTTTTATTTTAATAAAATATAATCATCATGCTAGTGACCAGTTGTGAAAAGTTATGCAGAACAAAAGACAATGAAACACAGAGGCTTTCACTACAAACTCTAGAACTCCTTGCAATAGAAAACTCAGAGGCTATTGTTAAACATGTAAGTATTATTCACATTGCAGTTTTGTGTCTTCATATTTAGAAGGAGAGGGGTGGGTATAGATAGAGAAAATACTCCCAGACCTGTCTCTCTTTCTCCAATATATTTTTCTCTCTCCTGTTGTCATAAAAACTCATACTCACTCTATTGTTCAACAAGTACGAATTATAGAAGATTTATAGCTTCACATTTAGAATTTTTTTCTGGTCTCCCTTTCATTTCCAACATCCAAGTTTCTTGAATTCAGTGCTGTCAAATAAATTATATGAGAGAAAGTTTCTCATAAATCGTAAGAGTTCCAAATGGTAGGTGGGAACCATACTTAATGTGATTGTCAATGGCCTTCTGCTGAATCCTGTAACAATCAGCAGCAGTAAGGGACTTCTCGCGAAAGCAAACAGTGTAAC